GGGGGTGGGGGGGATCTTGACCAGGATCCGCCATTTTTAAACCAAACTTCTGTGTGCTGAACTTCTGTTCTGTTATGGATAAAGAGCATAATGTCTGTATCTGTTCTAGAGCGTAATGGCTGCCTCCTCAAGACAAATCACCTTGAGACCATAAGGTGACAGCAAATGGAGAGAATGGAAAGTTGCCAGCAATAACACAGAGACAAGTTACAAAAGAAGATTTTGAAGGTATCAAAAGATGATTTAAGGAGATACATAGGAAGCTTCAAACAGGGTGGGGTATAGTTAGGCTGGCTTTTGTAGCAAGGGAAAGATTTTCTAGTATAGCTACAGAACTAATCAAATTCAGAGAAGACAACCTACAGACCTGCTTGCCTTCCTCAACACGGATGGATGAATCAGGATTTTCAAGGGAAGGAAATCTATTGTTTTTCAAATGATTTGCAATTTCTTATGCTTTATCCTTTGAGTAAAAGCAATGGTGAGTTTATAAACTCTGTTTAAAGCCTGTCTTTAAGTTTATGTGGGTTTGCTTACATCTGTCTCCTGCCTCCTGAAGAGCTGAAGTGAAATGTAAAGGCTCCCATCTATGGTGAAATTCTGAAAAAAAAGGCTTTATTTAGGCTCTGAGTCAGAACTGAACCCAGAGGACAGGCAAATGGACTTGTGATTGCCGGCTCTCAGGAACAAGTGATAGAGGATATGTGGCCTGGGAAAAGCCCAAACTGAACACTCTCTCTGTTCAGCTGCCAGAAGCTTAAAACAACCAGAGACTGAGCCTGATCTCCTGAAAGCAAAGTGCTGAATAACCAACAGGAGGTGCACAGATAGATGTTGGCACAGATTCAGACACATGAATGCCCACATTTCTAGATACAGGCAATTACCAAAACACTAGTGAAAATTTGCATATCTCCATTTTGTGCTTTGGTTCTTAAGCTCGGAACATTGTTTGATCTATTTAATCATTTTAAACCAATAACTTTACAATACACCTAACGTTTCCCTTTTGCTTCCAATTCCTTTTGTCTAGGGAACAGATTGAGGGGCAAGGAGTTTAGGGTATTCTACTTAAGACCTTTCAACAAGACCATTCAACAAGCCCAGGAGACTACTGGCAGTTCCTGCCCCAAAGAGAAACAAGAAAATATTGTTAAGGGATTTGTAAAATTGTTCATAGGAGGCCATCCCAAGTTCTGAGCAGTTTGACAATCTAAGTTCACAATAAACATTTAAATTAAGTGTTAATAATATAAGCATGCATCAGCATATCAAATTAGGCTTACAGCACATGAAACTTCTTCTTTCCTCATACTCTGCCTTTCCCTCCCATGTCTGGCTAAAGAGATGGGCCTTACAACATATCATGAACATCTCTATATATGCAGACTATACTGTACCAGGGGAAAGGGCATTCTGAAGTAGAGGATGCCCTACAGGAAAGCCCCTGATCATAACACAAGGGCTCAAGTTTGAGAGCTTTCATTAACATCCATTGCAGCTGAAAGCCACAGAAGCCCAGTGTCAGAAGCTCAAACCATAAAGTTATAAAACTATAGTTAAGACACCAACACTCAGTTCCAACCAGAAACATTTAGGCTGCCACTGCAGAACCCAGAGTACCAAGGTTGTGTTACCCATGTGAAACTCCACTTAATAATTGGGTCATGGCCTTCTGCACTAGCTTAAATTTATGAGTGCTCTTAAGATGCAGCTCCATACAAATGTATATTACAGTAATCAAATCCTGAGGTGACAAAGGGCTGAATAAATGTGTGAAGCTCTGCACTAGAGTAAGAAACTACTGACTTTTTCTGGCCTTATGCAGATAAAAAGAAATAAAACAGCCATACCTTGCTACCTGGGCACCAAGGGTCTAGCATCCTAAATGCACAACTGGCATCAACAGCCCCTCAATCTATTCCCTGGACAAAAGGATGGGAAATACACTTCTTCAGCAAGGGGCACACTAAAAATTCAGTTTTAGCTTAATCGGCTTTTTCCAACCCATCAATTCTGTTTCCGTTTAGTGTGAACTGAGCCACAAGAAGCTGACCTCAAGCTCATATATACATTGGGTCAAACTCCTTTGATCCAGCCATAGGGACAGTTATGTTGTTAGCATACTGAGTATATTACAGCCTACAGCCTCTTGTTACTTCTCCAAACTGCCCCTAAAAGCCTGGAGAAATAGTGGTGGAAAAAACAGAATTTCTGTAGTATTATACTACATGTAAAGAAAACATTCAGAACAGAGGGGACATAGACCACAACTACCCTCTAGACCCTGTGTGAGAATAACAGGAAGCTATCAAAGGCAGCTTTTCCACCTCTGCCAGCATATGCAAATACCTTACCAAAACCTATCATCACAGCATTCTCTTATCTTCTCAAATATAGTAGCTGTTTGAAGAGATAAAGAAGATCCAACATATCAGAGAGTGCACATTGATCTGTTTTTACCTAATTCCGAATTTTTTGTAATTTTGGACTATAATCATTCTAGTACATGAAACAATGCAGTCTCTTTTCAAACAAAACTCCCAAAACCATCAAGGATAGTTTTGTTCAAGTAGAGACAGTTGGATCAAGATTGTAAGATTTTGTCTCATGTAGCCAACAGCATTTAAAGTATTTTAATACATTAGTTTAAAAACTCCATTGTCCCAGTTGCAGTACAAAATCATCAGGTGAAAATCCTATTCTGTCTCACGTTAGCAGCCAACTAGTGTTTAATTCCACTGGCTTCAATATAATTGCTTCTGATTTACGGTACATGAAATTAGAATTACATTACAATGTTCTTTGTATTTTCAAGATGCATACATCAGAAAATATACCAAAGACGAAAGACTGTTCTGGAAGCAGGCATGTCTCTTCACTCCTAGGCATTTAGTGGACTAAATTTAATTCTAGTTGTTTTAAATTACATGGGCTAAAGATTCTCTCCTATCAAAACTTGGAGTACTACTTTTTCCTGTTGATGAACACTCTTGAAAGTGTTCTTCTTTATCTCTTCAATCAGCAACTATATTTAAGAAGATAAGAGAATGCTGTGATGTTGCATAGTACACAGGGCCGTTTTTGCTCAGGGGCATCACAACATGCACTTTGAGTAGCAGTACTAACCAGCTGACAGATGTGAGTGAGTTGGAGACTGAAGTAACCTCTGGATAGAGGTGGAGAAGGGTAAATGTAAGGTGTGTTCTGTGCAGCAAATAATCCTTCTCCCAGTTTATGGCCAGGTGTGTGCTCTGAACTGTAGGCTCCTACAGAGCGGAGCTACCTGCTACATAGGTTGTGTTTGTGTGTGTCCTGTCTATGGCCCCCTGGAATTCCGCTCCCCTACTTTTTGCAGTGGAACCTCACTGTTTCCCTGCTACAAGCCTGAAATGTTTCCAAGCTCGTGGAGCACATGACTGAGTTTACATCCAAAAGCCTTATATGTGCCAGCTAAACCTACATTTCCCATTTTAAAATACAGACACTTAGATTTTCCCTACTTTCATTTTCTACTTATCACATCTCTCTCGTACAGGGCATTTCACAGGAGTCATTAATTGTTCCAAATCTGTCCTTAATTCCCATAAAAACACCTGTCCCCTGGTTGTAGCTTTGACTAAGTAATATTTTTTATGTTACCTTTCCTGGACTTCCCTTTTTATTTAAAACGTTGGTGCTGAAACATTTCACTTGTGAGCAATGGGGGACATAAACTGTGGTTGCTTTTTGTTCATTTTCACTCCTATGCTTAGCCCTATAGCAATTCAATCATGCCTGCTCTTTTAGAGGGAACGAAGTGTCATTCTCTTGTTATGGCTGAGAGTGAAGATAAGCCTGTGAACCCCCAGTATTGATGCTGCAGCTGGAGAGGTAGTCAGCCTCATAGTCCTCAACTGCATCCTTCAGTGAACAATAGCATCTAAAGGCTCCCATTTATTCCTAGTACTGAAAAAAACCTAGATGTTTATCTCTCTGCTATACTTGGGGCTTTTGTTCCCTTATATGAAGTTATTATTACTCCTGATAACTGACATTCTACTTTTGTTCTTTGTATGGTTGATTGGCTGTCCTTGCTGATCAGAGGAAGAGATAGTGAGTGCAAACATTACAGTAGCTGAGCCTCCTGTTGATTCAATGGTTTCAGCCTCCCTGTTGAAGCTAGATCCTGAGGCTTAAGACTTTAATGAAGTTCCCAACAGATAACTGACCTGAAAAACTGGAAAACTTCACTTTTGACAACAGCAAATGTTTATCAGTCTAAGGAGGAAATACAGAATTATTGAGCCTGGTTTTTCTCTGATATATATAATAATTGTACAACTTTGCAACTATGTTGAGTTCAGTACAAGGGGGAGAAGAATCTAAACTGTTGAGGTGTAGTTTGTTATTTTTTAACCAGAAAGATTTTATTTTGTGTTTAACTCTTAGCAGAGCTAGTCTTCTACTAGAACAATTCTATTTTGGTAAGGAATATGTTTTCACAATATTCAGTGTTTTCAGTTAAGGGCTCTGAATTAGAATAGTTCAATTATTGAACATCAGTATATGACCTGTTATGTGTCTAATTTTTCATATTAACAACACTCAAGTGGTAAAAATGCAAAGCAGAGCAATCCTGCTGTCATGTTGTACCAGTATAAATGTTCAATGAGAGCCTTGTTAAACATTAGAATGTGAACCACACAAAAGTTGATTGGCTTAGTGCTAATTTGCAGTCGCACCTTCAATTTGAGGAGCACTTCTATGGGGAGTTGCCACACCTTAATGGAACAGGAGTTGAATTGTGTAGATCAAGAGATAATCCTGTCCCAGACTGGTGTACCTTTGAGCCATGTAAGGAATGCTTTAATCCACTTAAAGGTGTTAATGTGCGGACAATCCCGGGGTTAAGTGCTTCAGGAGCCAACCAACACTAACATGTAACAAGGCCCTGACTGCACTGGGTTGAATTCTGCTCAGCTATGCCAGAAATTGTTAAGCCCTGCCGAGAAACACATATGTGATGTGACAGCTGCCGTGTGGGTGCCAAGTAGGGGATGATCTCTGCGGTCCCCCACTGCCCCGCGGGGCTCTGCCATGAGCTCCCAGAGGCCCTGCACTCCAAGTGAGTGCAGGGCTTTTTTTTTTTTTTAATGCTGTGAGGTTTGAGCCAGGCAGGGCAGCCGTGGGGGCTTCTACTGCAACTCCCCCCACCAAGGAGAAGCAGGCACAACGGGAGGAGCCACAGGAAAACTTGCAGCCACCTGGCTACGCCAGCCTCTCAACGACTGATCTGAATCTCTGAATCAGCCGGATCTGTGGTTCTGATTTGGCTGAATCGAATGGGGACAATGATTTGAATGACAGAATAGAATCACTATCCTCTGAATTGGCCCAAATCCAAATTGAATACTTCCCTATTCACACAGACCTACTGTGCAGTAGCTCATTGCTACTTGTTTATGCAAGTACTAACTGACTGTGCAGTAACAAGTGTG